CCTATAGAAACCCTTACCTAACGGTAGCGGGAATGGTGTTACGACCGAATGGGTTCACTATCGCCCCAGCACCCGGCGTCCAAGGTCCCCGTCCTGCCAGCATCGCGGTTGCGCCCAACGATGAGGTAAATTAAATTTAGTGGGTAACAAAGAGGCCGCTAATTGCATGGTCAGTATCTAGCTTGAAACGAGGTGGAAATGAACACTGGTGCCTGCATGTACGTGCAACAAGTCAACTCACTCCTATTCAACACACATAATTGTGTCTGTCCGCTCCTATGGCGACGCCACCGCCTTCGCCGCGCGGAGAGCGGAGATCACTCGTGGCCGGACGCCGAAGTTCAGTTTGCGCACGCGTCTGCACGAGATTAGCATCCTCTCGTACGAGTTTCAACCGCGGCTTCGGCCAAGGAGTCGGATGTGGGTCCTCCAGTTGTGTGAGCGAAGAAAAAAAGTCTGAAAGACACGGGTGTCCTGGCCTGGAGCGGTTCTTCAGGCCCAACACAAGGACAAATAGTCGGATGTTGAAAATATTCAATTGCTTACGGGAGCCACAGATCTCACTTGCGGCTCTATCCAGTCCCCGAAAAGCAACAGAATCAAACGCCGTCCTTGGATGTCCACGCGATCCTCTCGTGGAGTGGTCAGTCGATTTTTTAAAACGCCGGCGAACGGCTTCAGCACACGGACCCCTTGGGGATTACAAATAACCCACAAAATTGTTCTTTTTTTGTTCCTATTTTCTCCCACCTAAAATGACTTGCTTCCTTGATGAAAAATCGCCTCAAACAAGTAAGCCGTTTTCCTTTGGATTTTTGTTTTGTGTCAAAAATATACCCATGATATGACACGAGGACTCACGGCAAGACGAAACTCTGGCGGACGGTGATGCGAATCGAAAGGACATTCTCCAGCGGGGATCAAGCGGGCGTTCGGAAATCTGCAATATTAAGGAGACTAAAAATAATTAGTTCGATGTGGAAAAGATCAACGACTCACCTCTGTCGTCTCCGGTGAGAACCAGGCGCATGGATACCGGTGCAGCGGACTTGAACTCGCGGAGTTGGTTGCCACATTGGCTATAACTTACGGGGAACAGGGATCTCAGGAACGTGAGATTTGCGTCGGGGTCCACAGTCGAATGCATCGGAGAGCAGATTATCACGCGAGAAGGAAGCTTGACAGCCAGCGCAGTGTCTGCCCGGGGCCCAGATCACGTGGGAGAAAATGGGGGTTCTCGGTAACGCATATATTGTCGGCGGGTGAGTGGAGTTGCGATGAGGCGGAGATGCGAAGGTCACAAAGCCGATGTAGAGAGCTGTTTATATGAAGAGAAGTTACAGAGGAATCAGCGTTACACTGTAGCGGTTAGAGGGATGCTGGCAGCATGGGTGCATGACTTGATAGGTGGCAAAAGGAAATAGCAAGGTGGGTGGCATGGGGGTGAAATAGGCATGGGCGAGTCCAGAGAATCAGGGCGAGATATGGAATCGACCCGAGAAGGGAGGCTTGAGGTATCTGGTTGGCATCTGAATAGGATAAATTGAGACATTCCAGGGAGATTTGTGCTGACTCCTCGACCAGTGACTGTCTATCTATGAAGGCAAGCCTGCTATCCATCATCACTGCCTAGATTTTTATCGAACTTCTGGCGCTTCCTGCGGCCCGTTCAAATCTCCGAGTTAGCTAGCCGCTCTGTAGATAGCGCGAGCCGAGCGGCAATGCTAACTCTATATAATATGCCCGGCTGACCCTTCATCCACTTCAGAAGGGCCCTAACCTTTATTACGCCAGCTCACTCACCACTTCTCGCTCCAATGTATACGTCCTCCGGGCTCGTTCACCGGGCACTTATGCCATATCATTTTGCTATCCGCAATATTAATCGCAACTTCTTGCGGAACAAACATGGTCAGTCGGTATCTATACGCGGGCGAATGCACTGACCTTTTCCCGGTACTTCAGTGTCAGCTACTTACCTTGGCTGCGGCGCTGGAGCCGCCGCCTGTGCCGTCCCTCCTCTCCGCGGGCCAGCCATCAATCATGATATCCGGATCTGGGCGGCGCCTAAGCATCGGAAGGTCTACGACGAGATTAAATCGGTCGGCTTTTTGAAGTCGATCGGCGAGATCGAGGCGGTGACCCATCCGATTCTCGTGGATGATCTGGCGGCGGCGGTGAATGCGTCGGAGCATATAGTGGTTACGGTGCCGGCCGAGGGTACCGGTGCTCTCATCGAAGACCTCGCCAAGCTGGACTTAACCGGGAAGAGCGTCACTTTTATCGAGAGCTACTACGTCTCCCCGCTTGCGCGGGAGAAGCTTAAAGGCGCGTTCGTTTTCGAAACTGTGACGCTGCCATACGCGTGTAGGATGGTTGGTCCAACGGTCAACATCGTTGGTATAAAGACGCGTCTTCAGGTTGGTGGAGATGACGCGCCCGCTAATATTCGCAATGAGATCGCATCCCTGTTCCTTCCTCGTCTGGAATGGTGCAGAGACTCGTTGCACGCGTCACTTCAGGCCATGAATGCCATCGCCCACACTGGGCCGGGCCTCATTATGGCTGGTTTGATTGGGAACGTGCCACCCGAACTGCGGTTCTATCGCGATGTTATCGGTTCGGACGCAGGCCTCAAAATCGTCGCCGCCCTGGATCAGGAAAAGCAGGCTGTCGGGCAGGCGTATGGTTACGAGTTGGAGGGCTTACTCGCGTTCGTCAATCGTCACTATGGCACAGAATACCCGGACATGCAGACCTTCACCCGTGAATCGATTACCCATAACAGGACGCCCGCTGTTCCAACGTCTCTTAACCATCGCTATCTCCATTCCGATGTAAAGCGCGGGCTCACCTTCTTGCTCGACCTTGCTTTCGTCGCCGGTATCGACGTCCCACACATCGAGTCCGTTGTGAGACTCGCTGGCACCTTCAACGGCGACGACTACGCCAAGAGTGGCAGAACCCTTCGAAGCCTTGGGTTGGACAGAGCGAAAGCTACAAAAAATGACGTCCTGCGGCTATTCGGAGCAAAGCACAGAGTGTATGGATAGTTCTCATCACCCTATATAGGCTTTATGTGACTTTGGAGTATATACGAGAATCGAAAACGAAAACATATATTGAATATATCGCCGGGCGATGGCCGCTGATGGCCTTGGGGCTAATATAGCCGGTCACTGCGCCTATGAAATCACGAGAAACGAAAACCAAGACCTGGACGGCAGAGCTTGGGACCAGGGCGAAAAGCCTAAAGAGTGTTGGTGAATCTGGGAGCCTACGCACGACCTTCCTTCCCATTGGAGTCGTGTTACGTGGCCATGTTTGTACGAAGCGTGACCAATTGCTAAATTGGGAGGACGTGTCGCTCCCCGAGGGGTAGAACACGATTTCCGAAAGAATCCCTCGATTAGCTGTGGACTCTGGAAAATGAATGACTTCTGTACCTAAGGCATATCCACAAATTAGAATGTTGACGTGTTCTAAAGTGCACCTGAGAGAAGCTCAAATATCTGTCCCTCCGCTCCGCAGGCAAAAACTTGCATGCAAAATAAGGACTTTTGAATGATTGTTGAACCATTGCAAGGCAATTATAGAATGTCAGAGGCCCGGAAATTTTACTGGAATAGCTTCTGTAAATCAAAAGATATCAGAACAGTTGGCACGGACGAGGCTCCTCATATTTTGCACCCTTAATTAGACGGTTAAGGCTATGGAAGCGACTGCATTCATATGGAAACCGATGACATGAGTAAAATTCAAAGCTAAATTATGAATGTGTGTATAATAGACTACCAGTAAATTATTGGGTCACAAGACTGAGTGAGTCATAGAGGAAGAGTAGGCAGTTAAGGAGTGTACGAGTCAGATGCACGGACCTTATCATCACCATTGACTGGATAGAGGGGGCGGCCTTGAATTTGTTCGAAAGCAGTGTCTATAAATTCAGACTCGAGAGCCAATGCATAGTCAAAATCAGACCGAGGTTCGTGAATAGGATCCATTGACGGGAGTCCAGGAAACAAAATCATCCTCACACACTGCTTGTTATGGGCAGACTGGCAGCTGCACATAGACAAGTGACTGTCTGTCTATGGAGGCAAGCCACAGTCCACAGCTGCCTCACTTGACACTCCGTGAAGACCGCTGTGAGCAGCAGATCCGGGTTCGACGCCCGGCGCCCGCATAGAAGCGGTCCCAGCACCATGTTTTTTTTTCTCACCGTGGTTCAAGGACGTCCGTGCAAGATGCATTAGCCCCGGAGTAAGATGATCGAAGAGTTCAACAGGATCCCGCCCAGCTCGACTCATCATCCTCACATGTTCCAATGTGCTCAGAGTATCGTAAAGGTCAAACCTGACGCCGAATCTAGTCAATGTAAAGGGGAGCAAACTGCAGGGAATAAGCGGGTGTGGTGTAGGTGCGCAGCTGCCTTGGTTACTTGATGCAAAGCCGAGCAGCAGATCCGGGTTCGAATCCCGGTGCCCGCATTCGGTCTTGGCATCGCGTTTTTTCACCTTTGCTCAAGTACGCCAGTGAAAGGTGCGTGAAAGGTGTATTGGCTCCAGATAAAGTGAGTAATCATTCAATCGGAGGGCGCGCGAATGAAGTCACTGAGCTTACATCCTTGCATACCCACCTCGCCGTGAGATAAAGTCAGCCTCGATATGAAATGTATCCAACCTAGAGAGCTGCGGATCCTAGGTATAAAGCGGGCGTGGTACAAGATACACAGCTGCCCTACTTCATTGTTTAACCGAATGTCTTCGGCAGCAGATCCGGGCTCGACTCCCGGCGCCCGCCTTGAGCGATCCCGCCCTCATTTTTGTTCATTCACCTTTAAGTTGGAAATAGTTTGGACTCCAGTGAATTACATAAATATTTGACCGTTGACTATCTGTGGATCTATCAAGCTGCTAAGGAAGAGGACGTGCTACCGACAAACATTAATTCAGGAGCGAAAATTGCTCACCTGAGAGGTATGAATCCTAGGTATAACAGCGGGCGTAGTGTACGGTCCACAGCTGCCTCACTTGAAGTTCGTGGAGAGCACTGAGCAGCAGATCCGGGTTCGACCCCCGGCGCCCGCATAGCCACGGTCGCAGCCCCTTTTCTTCTTCTTTTTTTCCCCCCCATCTTGGTTCACGGACGCCATTGACAGGGCAAGGTGCATTAACCCCGGAGAAAAATTATCGAGAGTTCAACAGGATTCCGCCCAGCTCAATTCATCATCCTCACATGCTCAGAGTATCGTCAAGGTCCGACCTGACGCCGAATCTGCTCAACGTACAGGGAAGCAAATCGTAGGGAACCAGCGGGCGTGGTGTACGCTATACAACTCCAGTAGTTGAGAGAGCCTTGAGCAGTAAATCCGGGTTCGACTCCCGGCGCCCGCATAGAGTGGAATGTCCTTTTTTCTCTCTCTCTGGTCGCCCCAAGTACCCCCCTCGCCCGCGCACCGCGCATGAGCACGCTTCCGCGCTGACTGCGACCTTTGCTTGAACCCGGTCATACTTGAATCTCGGGCGAGGTGCGAGAGAAATAGCACAAGGTGCATGCACTCCTCAGAGTCCGCCGAATTCAAGTTCCGCGTGTTGGATGTACTTGTACCAATACTCATACCGAGACTGGTATTGAGACATTCATCCGCCAGAGAACGAGCCCGAAGGATCGAGGAGGCTGGCGAGTGTGGGTGCGCTCGGAGCAGGACCAGCGCATCTCCTCGAGCGCTCTTCGAACACGCCTCCTACGCGATTCCTCCCACGGCTCAAGGCTTCCGCGCATCATCATACGTCGCCCGCGTGGACCTGCCCCTCTCTCGAGCAGTGCGACTCGGAGGCGGTGATCGAGCGTGCCTCCTGCGCACTTCGTCCCGCGGCCCCAGGCGGCCGTGCGGCTCAGTACGGCTCATAGGGGGGCGCAGCCTTATATGCAGGCGCCCCCGCGAGCGCAAGGCCCTGCGCCGCTCCTCGAGCAGCGCGAGGCGGGCGTCGAGCGGGCGGTCGCACGCTGAGACGCCGGGTGCCAGTGATGCCGGAGATGGGTGCGCGCGGTACGCTCGGGGGCGTGGGGCGCCACCGCGAGAACCTGCGCCGCGGGCGTGGCGGCTCGGAGGAGGCGGTCGTCGAGCGCGCGCTGATACGCTCGGTGCGCCGGGAGAGAGGGGAGAGCGTGGCGGCGCGACGCGAGGGCCTGCGGATCCGTCTCACTGAGTGGGCGGGTGCCAGCGCACTTTTTTCGTCGTGCGAAGAAGAGGATAAGGCCGGAGGACCGCGAGGCCGCCTGCTATCAGCCCGGCCGGGGGTGGGTGTTTCGCTCACAGTATAATCAATCAACCACACCGTCCCGTTCGTGCGCCAGGATGTTAGGAGGATGTGATTCAGCGTCGCGTCGAGAGCCCGCTGCGCGAAGAATAGGAGAGCGCGCCTGCGTCCGTATCTTCTCACGTACGAGCAAACTGGTTCGTCTCGTCGTGCCACGTCCCGACCTCGATGTCCGCGCGGAGCAGTACGCGCACGCCACGACAGCGTCGGGCGGGTGCTCGTTCGAGTGTGGTTTGGATAGCCAAATTCATTTGGGCGGCGTAAGCGGGGCGGAGGGAAGCGATCGTGACGAGGGCGAGGAGGAGCGAGAAGAGGCGGAAGCAGGCGTCAATGATTACGTACTGTAGAGATCATGAGATCCGCCGTGATGCGGTCAACCAAAATTGATCCATACACTTGGAGGAGGAGGAGGTATATTGGAAGGCCCGCGGGGCCGCGAGGGTCCACAGCAAAAGAGACAGATGAAGAAGCTTGAAGCGGGGCGACCAAAAAAAAATCTCGACCAATGGTTGCGGGTGCCGGGAGTCGAACCCGGTTATTTTGCTGGAACTGATCATGAGTATATCTCTAATTGAGGCAAATGTGCGCCGTACACCACGCCCGCTTACTCACTACGCTTTAACCTTCGCTGTGTCGACAGATTTGCTTCATTGGATTGTCATGGACTCATGGTGGCTTCTTTCCGCGGATTCTTTCTCAATACGAACCACATGATTGGGATACGATAACGTACCACTTAAATGCTCAACTACACTCCGGTGCCTCCGTTCGTCCAAGTCACCCCGCCCTCGAATCAGGGTAGGGGTGGGGGGAAAATGTGTGTAGGCGGGCGCTGGGAGTCGAACCCAGGTCTGTTGCTGGCAACGAGAAAGGGCTGGAGCATATCATGAAGCAGAGGCATCTTTCGCCGAGGTGTAACGAACTAAGTAACTGTGTACCGTATACCAAGCCCGCTGTCTCCCGGCGATCTAACCACAGTATGCTGAGTAGATTGTGACGTGTCTCTCAGCTCTTGACAACTTAGTTCCGGAGTCCGTGAAATTGTTGGATCAAAGACCCTAAAGGAGCTGGGTGTGTGTGTATCGGTGTATCGACATCCCCGTGAGATCGTCGCACCCCACTTCAGCGTGAGGCCGAAGCAAAAAAAAAAAAATCAATGGGATGCGGGCGCCGGGAGTCGAACCCGGGGCTGTTGCCGGAATTTAGTCCGGAACCAATTAATTGAAGCAACTGTGCACCGTGCACCACACCCGCGTCCTCCCTGTGCTATACCCTCCTCGACGTTGAGCAGGTTGGCCGTCTATCTCCGCGCTGAGTCAACCATTTGCAGAATCGGCTGGCTCAAATTCGACGCACCCGAAAACGTAGGAGGATGCGGAATGTGCTGGGCAGTGAACGCGACGACGCATCTCGCGTAATCTTGGCGCCAAACAGCGTGAACCCCAAAGCAACAAAAGAAGAAAAAAAACTCAAGAACTTGCTACGCGGGCGCCGGGAGTCGAACCCGGTTCTGCTGCTCAAATCTATCTGAAAACGGCCATAAGTGACGCAGCCGTGTACCGTACACTACGCCTGCTCGAAGCCCAGGATCTAGGCCCCGTAAAGCAACGTTGTAAGGATGGTGAGATAAAATGGGACAATGCCGTGAAACGCTCCATGCAGGAGCGGGAGCGTGAGCGCGTCCAGCGCAGCGACGGATGCAGGGAGCGAGAGCGACACGGGATGAACAGGGAGAAAGTTAATCGTATGGGAGACCTACTAATAGTACTACAGTACAAAATATATGATAAGCAGAAATAGGAATGGAATGGAGGATAACGCGTCTACGATCAGAAGGCAGTGTGAGGTCCGAAGAACGGGGTAAAGCCGGATTCGAGGGCTGTGAACGGCTCCGACGAAGGCGGTGTAACATGATGATAGGGTGAGGCAAGACACGTATGGTCGTGTTTACACGATACGTGACTTGAGTCACGTGAGCCGCCGCGACGATGAAGCATCGCGCTACAGCGCCAAACAATACGTGAAAAATGTTGCTAATTTGACTGAGACCTCCACATACGGGGCAATGGCGACGCCTAGAGGCTTTCTACTCGATCTGCCCTCAGTCAGCACTGATACGGATCTCCTCGAGCGGAAGCCGAGGTCCATGCGATCGGAGTCAATCGGGCGAGATGTTTGTCCCAATGTTTCTGGCATGGTAGAGTGTCCTCGGACAAGGGACGGTCGATGTTCTATCTGTTCAATTATGCAACAATACCAGTTGCAGTCAGGGATTTTCACCGGCAACACCTGTTCAGGGCTCCATATTTCAAGCAGTTTGTATCCGGCATTCTGATTATACCGGAGGATCATATGCGTAGTCATCGGACGCTCGGTGACATGGTCTAGAATGTGCCAGCTTATCTCCCATAGTACGGGGCCCGATATAAAAGGCCAGCGCAACCGAGTTCCTAATCACTGCCAAGATGCCCACTCAGCCGACTCTCACTCAGATTCATTTGAACAACATAGTCACATGCTTGGGTGCTGCCGTGGCCACGCTAGAAGCAATGGCTCGAAGCCTGGAGACACCCTTCCTGGAGGCCATTTCAACGACGATTCGGTCTCTGTTGATTACTACAGAGGTAAGTAAATTAGACTGCTGCTATCATCAGTGCTCACCCAGTCCTGGCAGACCATAAACCAAAACAGGAAAGATTGTACACAAATGCTAGAGCAAATCCACCAGCTCCTGTATGCAATTATACAGCTTCACATAACCTCAGAAACCATGGGTGAATTATCGCCCAGCCTGTTGGGAAGTTTGGGAAAATTTACCGAGTAGTGTTCCTGCCATGCTCGTTGGCCATTGCTGATTCCACTGTCACAGGACACTCCACAAGATTCATACCTTTGTGGAAGCGCAGCAGGAGAAGAGCAGAATCAAGCAATTCTTCCGACAAGGGGAAATGAACACATTACTGAAGGCTTGTCAGGAGGGACTTCATGTGGCACTTGAAGCGTTCGAGGTATTTATTTACTGTTCCGATTGCCATTGATTTGCTCAACACCAGTAATCAGCTTCGTAGTGCTCATGCCTTGAGCGACATCACAGAAATGCAACAGCACGCCCACAAGACACACCAGGAAGTTCTAGAATTGATTTCAGCTATTTCAGATGATGCAAGTTCTGATGGACAATCTTCCGTGTGTCCTCCGCTCCACTTGGTCCTCCCTTGATGATGACAGTTTTAACAGATAAGCAGAGTCTTTTCCAGCTTCCAAAACAGGTATGGGCTTCTAGCTGATGAACTTCACTGTAACTCTGACATTGACAAGTTCCAACTCACTTTCACTCTTACCATCTGAATCCAAGATATTTCATGGTCGTGAATCTGAAGTTTCCACCATAATCAAACAGTTTAGCAAGGAGATACCTAGGGTGGTAATTTTGGGAGCAGGGGGTATGGGGAAAACAAGCCTTGCAAGAGCAATTCTCCATCATCCTGAAATCACTGACAGATACAACCAGCATCGTGTTTTTGTTGCATGTGACACTGCAACCAGCAGCATCCAGCTTGTTGCCCTCATTGGAGTCTATCTAGGACTAAACCCAGGCAAAGACTTCACTCAGCCTGTGATCCATCATTTCCGCAACCACCCACCATCTCTCTTGATCCTCGACAATTTGGAGACCGTCTGGGAGCCAAGAGAGTCGCGCACCGAAGTGGAAAAATTCTTGTGCATGCTCGCAGATATCAATCACCTGGCATTAATTGTAGGCAGAA